TTGGTGGGTTGTCAGTAGGGTGTTGGTAGGTTGTCACTAGGGTGTTGGTAGGTTGTCAGTGTGGTGTTGGTAGGTTGTCAGTAGGGTGTTGGTGGGTTGTCAGTAGGGTGTTGGTGGGTTGTCAGTAGGGTGTTGGTGGGTTGTAAGTAGGGTATTGGTGGGTTGTCAGTAGGGTGTTGGTGGGTTGTCAGTAGGGTGTTGATGGGTTGTCAGTAGGGTATTGGTGGGTTGTCAGTAGGGTGTTGGTGGGTTGTCAGTAGGGTGTTGGTGGGTTGTCAGTAGGGTGTTGGTAGGTTGTCAGTGTGGTGTTGATAGGTTGTCAGTAGGGTGTTGGTGGGTTGTCAGTAGGGTGTTGGTAGGTTGTCAGTGTGGTGTTGGGGGGTTGTCAGTAGGGTGTTGGTGGGTTGTCAGTAGGGTGTTGGTGGGTTGTCAGTAGGGTGTTGGTGGGTTGTAAGTAGGGTGTTGGTAGTTCAGTGGCAGATACAGAGGTAGTCCATGGATTATTTGTTCATTTTAAAAAGTTCATTTCTTACCCAAAAGTGATATATTTTGAAAATATATTTGCTGTTGACATGGGTGTTGGAGGAATCCCAGGAGCACTGTTACGCCTTTCCGTCCTCTCACCAAGCATTTTTTCCTTCTCGTCTTCTTTTGTATCACAGTCATCACTGTTGTCATCACTATTATCATCAGTGGTGATGCCAACATCTACTGCTTCTACCATATCCATGCTAAGGGATTGTAATATTTATAAGCCCTAAAGAAAAAATTCAAAAAGTAAGGTTTGCATATATATAAAGGGCATTCCCTTATTTGGCAAATACGAAAGTGAATGCGATCTTTGACTAAAGACTCATTTATACAGGTTCAGTCTTGTTTAAGAGCAAACCATTTGCAAAAGTCATCTGTAATGTAAAGAATGTATCCTTTGAAGAATACCAATGTTTTGCAATCCCACAATATTGGTATCCATGAATAGCTAGTTTATTCTTGGGGTGCAACGACCTGATTAGAAATTCCTTGAGATGAATAAATAACAATGGAAAAGCCGCCATGTTGGTTGATCTAACAAGAGAGGCTAAATGAGGAATGCTTTGTTGTTATCATCAACCAACATGGCGGCTATGACGTAAAATGCACCTCAAGAATATAAAACTTGTGGTCATCAAAAACAGCAATATGCATTGGGTGCAAAACAGGATTAATGATATGCCAGCAACCTATATATTTTAATTATAGATTTTAATTTAATTCTACCGTTACAGGCTATATATTGAGAGGAAGTTTTTTTTGATAATGAGCAATAATGGCAAAAAGCGCCAAAAACTAGACTTTCATATGAGTTTTAATCCCGATTTTCTTTTGGTTTAACACTCAAAACCTTTTTTAAACAGTTAGAAAGTAATATACTATGATAAGATAACTGTTTGAAGCAGTTTTTTCAATTGTACAAAGATGTTGTGTTGCATTTCTGTTAGAATGTTGCTTTGCCAGGCTTTTTTATAGAAAAAATATGGGAAATAAGCAAATGAAGGCCTAAACATCATTTTAACACTTTTTAAATTCCACTTTCATCAGTCATCTCCACTTCCAAACAAGTTAAACTTTCTGAATAACAGGATTATAGCCTTGCACAACAGCCTTTCTTCAAGAAAATAGTTTTTGGCGCTCACTGCTTGAATACGAAAAGAATTCTCTCTTGATGATTAATAATTGGAATAGTGAAGGACTTTTACAAGCCTATTTTTTCCCAAAAGCTAGCTTTCATGACTTACATACACTATAAAAATATATCAAATTCCAGCAAGGAGCATGAACCTCTCAAAAACTACTAGTGAGGTTTATAAGATCAAAGTAATACAATATGTACAACACAACATGCCAATTTAAGGTGACTGCCTACTTTTGGAAATTGATTTAAGCTTTTTTTAAAACTTCGATTTTCCGAATGGAAATTTAATGCTGATTCCAAATCTGGAAAGAAAAATAGGGTGTCCCGAGCTCATTTTCGAGATAATCAGCATTTAATGGAAGCCTACGCACGAGCTTTTGGAGTAAAAATTGCGCCACCAGAAGTGATTAGAAAAAAATTAAGATTAATAAGATAATAGTTATTTGCAGACTATATGATTGCACGAATTAAGGCTAGTCAATCATTCTACATTAATACATGGATATTTTCGACAAAAAGACAGAGAAATACATTGATTTGTCATATTTTGTAGTTTCGGTGCTCTTAAAAAATCTCATAAAGTCGAACAAAAATCCCTACAAAAATCTATTTTTTCACGTGTTCCTGATTTAAACTTTTCCTAAAATGTTGATATGACCTAGATTTTTCGAATGAGCTATCAAAAAATATAGAGTCCCGTGCAAAATTTGAGGGTTTTGCCCTGTTGAAGCTCAAAACGCGTATGGTTCTTCAATAAAATTTTGTAGATTTTTCAGCGGTTTTTGAGCGCGCACACATCGTGGGCTCAAATCGAACGTTCAAAAGTAGGCAGCCACCTTAAAGCATGGATTATTGCTTTTTCTAAGTGTTATTTTAGTGTTTGAAAGCAGGTTTTCAATTTTGTGTGTCCCAGACAATTCCAGTCTCTGCATGTCTAATTGTATTTTGGCTGCCATCTATAACTTAGCCTATTAAAATAAGCCTTAAGGGCGTAATTTTAGATGGTCTGATATATAAAACTCATTACCACTGGTAAGACATCTGGTCAGTTTCATAGTATCAAGTTCAGGTTTACATGTGACCAGAATGCGATCATCTAGAAAACATGTAAAGTAATAAGTAAAAAAAGAATTTTTTTTAAACTAGAAAGAAAATGTTAGCTATATAACATATAAGTTTAAATGTAGCTATAAAGCATTATAAAGACGAATAAAACTTGAAACCCCAATCTTTTCACAGGGGATGATAAATTAACATTTTATACTCATGGTTCCTTTGCCACATGACTTGGTTCTGCCACAGAAATATAATATAATGTAATACCATCCTTAAGTTTAAAGAAATATAAAGAAACTTTTCCTCTGTGCATACTTGATTGCAATCACATCAAATACAGTATTCTAACTAAATGTTGAAATTATTAAATCAAAAGTTGGTTAAATATTGACAAAACATAAAGCCGGCGGCCGCCTTCCAGAAATTACAGTGTAACAGCAGCTAATAATTACAACTAGAACAGATAAACTAGGAGAAAACTTTATGATAATTAATTAATTTGTTCATAAATAATTAATGTAATGCTTTGGCAAAGGTATTGGTGGTAGCTTAAGTGCAAATTTAACAAAAGAGATAACGAATAAAGCGTTTTATAAAATGTCCAGTACGGGGTCCAGTAAGCACATGCAAATATGTATGTATGTTGATATGTTGTGGGTGATGCATTTATGATTTTAATTTGGCCTTGATCGACCTTAAATGCTTGAGGTATTGAGATCAGACCTTGATAAGCAGTTCAAAATCCCCACTTGGTTTCATAAGACAGTTATTTAGCACGGCTATTTAACAATGAAATAATATTAATGGCCCGTGGAAACGCTTTATCCTTACCTATCAATGTGTATTTATCCTTCTTTAGATGGTGTAGATGGAGAAAGGTTAGAATTCTTGCTGCAAAAGCCGTCAAAATGAGGTGTCTTATGACTCCACACTCACTTGTCTCTTGGTTATCAAGGCAAACTACCTCTCGCCAGTCTCCCTCATTTTATGCATATTAGCATCTTTTTCCCATAGAGGAAAAAATAGCGCACTTTTGGATCCAAAAAATTGTGGAAATCCTTTCTACTTTACAGAAATATCAAACGGCTATATTTCTAGCATCTAAACAGAGTTTTACTATGGTTTTTCACGTTTTTTTGGATATGCTGGTCTATGACATCATTGTTAAATTTAGTATGCTATCACTGGGCTTTTGAGGAGTGATGCAATGGTAACGATAACAATGGTAATATAGTGAAGTCATTTATAGAAATAGAATCGTTATCATTGTACCTAGTATATAGAACTTCAAGAGGTCTTTACTTTATGATCCAGCCATATTGAAGTCGAACGTTTAGGCTATAGGATATTTTATTTCGTGTTAGGAATGCTTTCTTATTCTCGTTTTTGGGCCTCTAATCTTCTTCCTTTATTTTTTACGAAAAAAAAAAAAAAAACTCGAAGTATTCATTCATTCGAGTGTCTGTTCTCAATGCCATTTTATTTGGGCCCACGGAAAACCGAACCAAAAATAAGGCGGCATAGCATTTTATACGTTTTCAGATGATGCACAACTTAGCAGAGCAAATGAAAATTGCCGTATAAATTAAAAGGGGGGATACGGACCATGTCCCCCCTGCCTACGCCCTTGCTGTAATTTCCGTATTTTTCGTAATTAAATAAATTTGAATTTTAGAAATAATGGATTTGTTGAGCGTTTAGAGAACTAATATATCAGAGTGTTGTTTTTACAATGTTAACATACAATGTAGTGGCTGTGATAATCAATATTAGCTGTCTCCACGGCAAGAATCAAAGCTTGACCGATATATATATAACACAACTCGCTCAGTAGAATCGAATGAAAAATAAAAACTTTCTCGTGCATGTAGATTTACATTTATTCTTACGATCTCGTTTTCTAGTTCCTTTTCGCCTTCTTATTTTACATATGTTTTTAATTTCTGTTCTGGTTTCTTTCTTTCCTTTCTCTGATTATCAAATGTGAAACTGAGAAGATAGAATTGTTTCTCTTCCTCTAAACCGTTAAGAGGTCACGAGTGGTCTTCGTGTTAGTAGTCTCCTCTGCAGACCGTCACAAATAACGCGGTATAGCCCAATAGCAACATACTGGAAGGAAAGCTGCAATAGATCCTGAAATCTGTTCAGGCGTTTGCATTCGTTTGCATTTGCATTGCGTGCGTGGTAAATTCATTTAGAACGATAGACTTTGAAAACACTGAGTTTGTAGTTTCGTATCACTCTTGCTCTTCTAGTTCATCTTGTTCTTCTTCGGGAGAGGCACCATTATCTGCAAACATGTTAAAACGTCAAAAGTATGCAGAATTTTTCATGTTTTCTGGATATGTAGCTTTCACTAGGTCAGGTCTATCCATTAGTAGTCTGTTTGACGAGGGGAGGGGGTACTCCCATATTAGCGACGGGGAAGGGGAGAGATCGTTGTAGCTTTTAGGGGTTGAAATCGTAAGTCCCTCTACTCCCTGTTTTAGGGGGTGAAAAAGGAAAAACTCTCGTTTTGTTTTGCTTTGTTTTTCGTATTAAATGGTTTATCTGGTGTTTTAAAGTGTTATCTTTTGGGGCTAAAATTAAACTTAGCCAGGACGTTCAAACTCTCTCTTAGGCCGGTGAAATTGATTTTTTTCGATCATCATCACCACTATTTTTACATGGGAATACACTCATCCCCCCTCTCCCCTCCCCTCCTCCCAAATCCCCCAGTTTGTAACCAAAAGTGGGCCACATTGGAAACCGGTATCCATACTGGATTTGTTCATCCACTATAAAACAAAGGGCTATTTTACTTACTTGATCCTTGTGGTGGAATGCTCGTGTCATCACCTGCTAAGGATCTGAAGTGAAGAAACCGGGTCAGATTGAGTGATATAGATCGCGCACGTGACCCATGACTTTCTAAAAATATTCTTTTCTTGAGATTTTTTCAAGTGCACTTTTCAACAGTACTCCTGTTTGGAATTCTATGTAGCTCAGGGTTACAACATACATATTACGTGTTCCAGTGAAGATGCTTGGAATTCTAAAGCCCCGTTTACACTAGCGATTTTTGCTGCGTTTTTCCATAATAATGGTAAAGAATTTACTTGTAAAGTTTTTTTCAGGATACCAAGATTTTCCTAGACGAATGTCTCTTTTGAAGGATGAGACAAAAAATTTCATATTTCCGAAAATTGCGACAAAAATTGCAGCAAAAATCGCCAGTGTAAACGGGGCTTAAAGTTCTTGTATTGTGGAATTTGTGCATTTTTTAATTCATCTTCATTGGTATTTGCGAATGTTTAGACACTGAAAAGTAGCCGTGAGTAAGTGAGTCTGTAATCAAGGAGTACAGCGGTACCTTTTTGGAATTTAAAATAAAGGGTTTTCACATGACGTCACACAGCCGCCATATTGGTGTACCTTTGACAATAACTTTTTCATTAGTTTTTTTTGTTATGTGCATCAATACGGCTGTCATCTCTATTGTCACAGTTAACTCTTCAGGGACTGAGTAACGCCCTGCTATATATAGGTCTAGTCAAGGAGTAGCACGACCTAGTCTCCCCAACAGCCGCTTTCACTGTCGTCACGCAACGCTTTCTAACCTGAGTAGTTACGTGACGACACTGAAAGAGGCTGTGGGGGAGACTAAGCACGACCAGGCTCGTAACACTTACTTTCTACGACCTTCTCCTGTTTCGTCTTCATCATCCCCTGTTTCGTCGTGTTCCTCCTCTCCAAATGGTGCAAGTGTTAATGGATTAAAGCCTGACATGGCTTCTCCGATAATTCCAACCCTAGAATAAATGTAATAAGAAATATGAAATATTGAAATAAAATATCAATTGTGTATTGTTATTGAATTCAAGGTGGTTCAACCACGAATATTATAGTCAACGAAACTATTAAAGTAACTAAAGTGGGCCGTCGTAATCTGATCATCACCACCACCATTATCATGATCATCACTATTAACATTGTCATCACCAGCACCATTATCATCAGCACAACAACAACATCTGCACAACCATCATCATTATCAACACCACTACTGCCATTATCTATATCATCACTGGTCATCATCATCATCATCATCAACAACATCAAGATCAATTTCCATCCTACCATCATTATCACAATCAGCATCATCAATCGTCACTGTTACTATCACTGACCATCAACATCACACCACTACAAGCATTATCATAATTAGCATCATCAGCAACATCATTATCATCATCAATACCAAAATTATGATCATCATCATTACCAACAACACCGTCGCCACTGATGCTACAACTATTAACAAATGTTATCCAACACCATCACTACTATCACCAGATAACCATTGCCAAAGGTCATCATCATCCCTATCACCACCACTATTCACCATCATTATTGTCATCATTATTATAATCATCATCTTCTTCTTGTAGTGCACGCTATAACTGTACGTGAGTACCACAGATCCCCTCCTCCCCCTCCAAAAAAAAAGCACACAAAATCATGTCCAAACGTTCATTGGTTCTACTTACTTTGCCTTTAGAACTAAAGATTCTTTGTCGTCGTCGTTAGGAAGTTCACTAATAACCAAATCAGACAAAAAGATCAATATATAACACAATCTCACAAGACATATTACCAAATCTTCATTCTGGCAGCCAGAAAAAAGTAAAGGAAGTGCAGGTTCATCTTCTTAATGAAGTGGTTATTTTGGGTCATCGTATCCTCTGAATGCTTAGAAGTAAGCAAGCTTATTATTACGTTAGACTTACTCAGCAGACACTGGAATAGCCTTGGTTCTGTCAAGGAACCAGGGAGAAGCTTCTTTAGAGGATGGAAAAAGTGATACAAGGACTGGCGATCGTTGGCTGGCAAAACAAAGGGTTCGTTAGACAATATTCTATACTACTGGATGTATAAGTACAGGTTAAAGTAACGTGTAGACAAATGGGTATTTTTTGGTTTCATCACTGACACATTGTTTTCGTCATCATCATTGTCATCATCATCATCAATACTGTTGTTGTCGTTATCATCGAGATTACCATCACTATCATCATCATGATCGACATAAACCGCATATCGTGGCTATCCTTGACCGTCATTGTCATTATCAATCATCATTGTCATCATCATTATCATCATCATCATCATCAATATGTATCAACATCATAGCTACCAATTATTGTCATCATTAACAACATCATCATCACAATCAATATCAATTGTACATCATGCATGGCCATCCCTGATCGATCATCTTCCGGTCATCATCATCATCAGCAGCATCATCATCTTTGTCATAATATAGACCATCGATTTTTATAACACCATTACCTCATAATTGGCATCATCATCTTCATCATAATACACATCATCGATTCTCATCGCCATCGCCCTCACTATCTTTCATAAGTGAATATGACAAACCAACACTTACTTGATTATAGACTTGATGGCCGGGCGTCTTCTAAATAGGAAACAAAATAGATAATAGATTCAGAAAAGTCATTCACTACAAGCGGATAAATATGCTACTAAAGTTGAAGCCACACAAGTTAAAATATAGATTGTTTAACGGCGCTAAAGCGCTCTAACCAAAAAAAAATACTCTCATTATTTTTTTAATCTTCAACAAAACTGACTGGTTAAACTAGTTACTTACGGCTTGAGGCGTCGATATTCTGCTGGGGTCAAAGGTTTTTTGTTGCTGTCCCTCAGCCTATCCATGGCGTACACCTCTGCAAGATCAAAGAAAGGTTTTCCAATACATGGATGAAACTAATATAAAACGATGCACTTTATTCTCAACGGCTGTATAAAATGGGGAGGCATTACTAATATAAGAACAGCTAAGGGGGCTTTCATTTATTAGTACATGTGGGGGGGGGGGGTAGGCAAAATTGTAGGAGATTACATGTACGTTATTTTGAGAAAGTGGTTAGGGGGGGTTACCACATATTGAGGAGGTTGATAAAATCCATTTGATAACTGCTACTAGAGCTTCGTGCAAGCAACTCACGCCATGTGGACAAAGTTGATCGAGGGATAAGGATTTATTCAGAGGATATTTCTAGCTTATTCACTGGCTTAATTGTACAACCGACTCATGACTTGGTTTCAAAAAAGCAATCAAACTTTGTGAAATCACTGGCATCTTGCCCATCATGGGATTAGACCAGCGAGTCTAGTCTATATATGAATTCAGTACCTTTGATTTCCTTGGGTCTTCCAGCTGGATTGAATGTTTCTGACCTGAACATCCTAGAAGAATTCAAAACGTTTATGTAAAAAGGTAAAGGTAATTTATTTTACTTCGATAACGCGGGGAGTGGTTGCCCAAGTCTCCTGAGCCAGGGGCTCCTGTTTAATGCACTTGAAGGTGCGCCCTCTACCCCCTCTTACTATCAGTGCTCCTTTCTACGAGTATTTAAAGAAGCTAATTAAAAGCTACACAGAACAGAGTGAAGTCGAAACAGACGTGGAGTTCCTGAGGATCGAACTACGGACCTCTAGCTCTGAAGGCCGAGCACTAAATAACTGAGCTATGCCTACTCCTACAAACGTTTGACATGAATTGTACGGCATTCATTGTGGGAAAAATAGCGCCTTTTAATATATAAAAAGTATCCTCTATATTCAGCATTGTTGTCATCATTGTTGGTGCTGCTGCATCATCTGATTTTCTTACAGCCATAAAAATATCTTCTAAATGAACATTGTCAAAATAATAGTCAAAATCCACTGTTTTCCCATTCCATACATGTGTCATTCCCTAGAGTATCATTACTTTGTTTAACGGTTGTACATGAGAAGACACATGAATATGGATACAATTAACCCAAACAAAGAATCTTATTCTCAAGAGAATGACACGTGGTATGAAATGGTCAAAACAATATGGATTTGGTCGCCATAACAAGTAAAATACCTTCCTAGTTCTTTGTGAATGAGGTCCAAATGTTGTCGACGGAATGTGATGTATGTCACATAAGATGAAAATCTGTATAAAAACTGAAGAGTAAAAAAACACTATGTCAAGCCATAAACTAAAAATAAGAAATCATATCAAACATTGAATGTCGTATTTCCCCGTTTCTGTTGTCTGCAAAGGCAGACCCACGAGTTAGCATCGTCCCCGTATCCTTCCTCGATTTTCCAAAGTTTTTCTCTTTTTTTTCTTTTCTCTTCTTCTTCAAAAATGTACATGTCGAATTTGTTAAAAAAGGACGGCCTTTTTGTTTGCCGCTTTTCTGAACAATCCAAAAATGGAATTGATCATACCATAAATGGAGTGAGCTTTCTCTACTCCAACTTCGACACTAACATATAGAGTAAAGCTTGATATGTATAACCACTGTATAAATTTCTTTACCTCAAGCGTAATGTTTTCCCATTTCAGACCATGTGTTATTCTCTTTAGGATAGAGGTTTTTCATGTGACGTCATGGTTGCCATGCTTGAGGGCAAAACAAAAAATATATTCTCCTTTTGGAAATAAATTCTCTTCATGCAAAAAATAATATTTCATTGTTATACTGTCCACAAACATGGCTGCTGTGAAAAACCTCTATAAGATTCTTTGTTTGAGTTGTGTCCATATTTATTTGTCTTATCATGTGCAACTGTTAAACAAAGAAATAATACTCTAGGGAATGACACGTGGTCGGAATTGGAAAACCTTAAACTAAACTAAAGAATTCTATTCTTTAATTTAAAACTTTAGTAGACATGAGTTAACTTTTTTTTTAGGATTACCTCGTAAAGATGTCCGTCCTTCGCCGTGCTGGAGACTCTAGACCTGAGATAAAAATAAAAATTTTACTTGACGTGTAAAGGGCCATGGAGAAGGGGGGCTACTCCCATATACAGAAGGGCGGAGATGCTATGGGCCTGTACTGGCATACTCACTAGTGGTCCTTTTAATTTTGTGGCACCCTAAAAGGTACCAATACCCTCAAAGGTATGACAAGCATATCCACACTTTTGCGATCGGAGTCCCCCAAGGTTAAGAATAACCTTTCCATTTCTAGAGAATTCAGAACTCTAAACCCTCACCCAAACCCCACCCTCTTTGTGGTCCTTCATCAGGTTTCAGCCCATATTACCTTCCACATGCCATGTGGTGCTGATCCTCTAGACCCAACCCAAGTACCATGACGCAGTAGCTCTTGGACAGTAACTTCTGAGCAGCTTCTTCCTTTGCTATGGCTGTTGCTAAGGCTTTCATCTCAGCAAGACTTGGTTCACTGATCAATAAAGAGAAAGATAAATGAAAGTGCAGGCGTTGTGTTTGGTAATCAAGGGTAGTGCAGATGTTGTGTTTGGTAAGCAAGGGTGGTGAAGCAGTATTGCATTCACCTCTCATATTCATGTCTAGGGTGTGAGTTGTGAGTAGAGTTTGTTAGGTCTCTTGCTTGATTCAAGGGTTTTACTTAGGCTTTCCTCACTCTGCAAAACCGAGCACACTAAAATCTGACTTCACCTTGACTTAGATTATTATCCTAGAGGTTGTTGCACAGTTCAACATGTGAGTTAGCCATGCCATGACGTAGATCAGCCCAGAGGTTGTTTCAGGGTTCTATCTGTGAGTGAGCCATGTCCTGACTTACTGTAGATCAGCCAAGAGGTAGTTTCAGGGTTTTATCTAAGAGTGAGCCATGCCCTGACTTACTGTAGATCAGCCCAGAGGTTGTTTCAGGTTTCTATCTAAGAGTGAGCCATGCCCTGACTTACTGTAGATCAGCCCAAAGGTTTCCGGGTTTAATCTGTTATGCTTCATGCATGAAACAGCATTTTCCTCAGGAATTTTTTCAGCGTAACAATTAAACAAAAACCCTAATATCCAAGATACTACATCTAATACTCACACTGCCATGGGCTTGGGTTTGTTTTCTATCGCGAGTCTCTCAAAGAAGGCATCAAAATAGTTCAAAACTGCCAGCAAGAATTCATCAAACTGTTCAGTGCTGAAACAACAAAAATATATTTTTGAAGAATTCATTTTGTTGTAAAAAAGTGAACTGCAGCATCTGCTACAAAATTTTGTTTAGATAAAGTGGGCAACAGGAAAACCTTTTGGTACTAATTCCAGCCACAGATGACCAAAAACCAGGGAACAAAATTAATGCTCCAAAACTGCAGGTGAAATTTCATATTTTCGTAAGTTTTAAGAGTATGACCACAGTCCAGAAATTGAAGCTCTGAAAAATTTAGAACCTGAATCGAATCAAGCAACATTAGAGAGTTTTAGATTTACGTTCACGGCAAACGTGAAACGTCAGTTGACCAGTAAAAAATTATTTTGAATTACTGAAAAAGAATCGCAAAAAAGTCCAAGTAGTAGAAAAACAAAAGAGTATTTGCGCTTGGTGAGAAGGTTTGTAAAAGGTAAAGTAAAATACACGAAAACTATGAAAACGTGGTCACGTTTGCCGTTTGCGGGGAGAAAAAAAAGTTAATCTAAAACTCTCTAATGGTTATTCACCACCTCCGATCGCTAGTGACTTTGAAATTTTTGCCAATGAGAACAAAACTTACTACAGTAGCAAGGTTTTGCTAGAGGGTTTAAAAGGTAATTTTGTGCCCTGAAGACTCAATGTTTTCTCATATTTACAAGTTGCAAGTGCTGTTATGCCACCTCTTGCTTTACTGAATTTTTGTAAAGGTATTATTTGTTTCATAATTTTTTCAGCATTATTCGTTAGTATTATAATTATAGTCATCTCATGATGCATTCTGATTGGTTGATTAAATGTGGTATAATAGTAAACAGTGTTAAGGCCACGTTTATGCTATACTGGTTTCCCCTGTAGCCATTATTAGTGTTGTAATATACTCTTTTTATGGTCTCTCCCAGCACCATAACTCCAATTGCCTTTTGGTCAATGATGATTAAGATGTGGGATAGCCAACTCCAGAGGCAACAGGAGAATATAATGTTTGAGGCTTTAAAATGAAGTAATTGGCTCTAAAAAATAGTAAGAGCAAACAAACCAGATTACCTGCAAGCACTCTGAAAGACCTCTGGCAAAGAATCAACATCAGGAAGAGAATCAAATGCAACACTCTTGACGTCATCTAAAGTTATAGATAAATGCTCACTTGTTCCTGCCTTTATGCTTGGTCGAGGAGAAGACCCCTTCATGTTACCTGTTCTCTGTCCCAGTAGGTATGCTTGCCCTCGGCGAGAACCAACTCCAGCCACGCCCACATTCCTGGACATGACAGATGGAGTACCCCTAAAATTATATTTTAGTTTATTTTTTGTGTAGTTCCAGAAAATATCCATCACCTCCCTATGGAGAAAATTGGAATTTCCAAGGGGTTGGGAGGGTCTTAGGAGAGTATTTTGTGAAGTTCCAGTAAATAAAATATCTTCCATTAATGGAGGGAATTTGAATTTCCAAGGGGTGGGGAGGGTCTGAAGGGTATATTCTAGTTTTCTTTCATGATCGGGTGGGGAGGGGAAGGCATCAATATATTTTCCAACTAATATACTAAATGAATGAGTGTACAAAATCAACAACTACAGCAGAAACAAAGTTTCAGACATACAATAATATATTAATTTTGTACCTGTCATTTTTCTTGCTGTAATCTGACTGGAAATGAATTCCTAACTGGCCTTTATTGCGCTTGGACTTTGCGGCACTTGTAGAGAAGTTACCAGGTCTTTCAACAAGATTGGGGTTTGTACTGTGGACCGAATGACAGAACATAAAACAGATGTACAGTACAGTCATAGTATACAGTGTACCCTTTCATAACACTGTGATATGGATTATGATGGTCTCATTAATGTATTACAGAAAAATGCTCTAATGTTTTACTTACATTACAGCTTCTAGAGTGTTTGTTTCTTCTTTCCAGACCCATCTACGGCTTAGACCCTGGTTACCATACTGAGAGTAGTTGAAGATTTTGAAATATTCAATTAATATATTTTTTGATAAATCGTATTTTCATCAGAGATTAAGGGAAAGTTTATCAGGGAAAAAGCAACATGAAACTCGATGAATTTGCTATAAAAGTGTTAATGATAAGGTATATTTAATTAATTTTTTTCTGTTTTGTGTAACAAAATTCATGAAATTCATGGTGGAAAAAATATCGAATGTCAGATCTGTTTTCAAAATATAAAAGCTTAGATTGTAAACCGATTTAAAGGAGAATTTAAAGGAGTATTTTTAGTTTTACGAATTAAAATAAGTTCGACTTATTAAAATGCTATTTAGAGTTTCTCGATTAACTTTTCAAATTTCAAAACAAATACGACTTCAAGAATCAAGTGTCATTTGGCAGACTATCCGACCACTTAAACCAAGTTCTTAACACATTTAGCAACACATTTAGCAACAAGACATACCAAGTTATCAGTATGAGCCATTTTATGTTGTTATAGGTTCCATTTTGCCATAACTTTTGGAAGATTTCTTTTTGACATTCTGTTTGTGGTTATCAGGCCGCCATCTTTGACATACTATGGGTTGCCAATAGCAACAAACCCGTGCGATTAGTCTTTTGGGTTAAACACAGGCAGCCCAAACAAGGTTCCTGTGTATGGTTGGGAATGTATGGGAGTTATGATAACGTCATGACAATAAAATGCCGGTTTCACTCAACAATTTGCCTCAAAACTTGCTGCAGTTGTTGCTTTTACTTTGTTCAGTCTTCTGGCGACACTGCAGCAAGTTTTGAGGCAAATTGTTGAGTGAAACATTTTATTGTCATGACTTTATAAACCATGCACAGGGACCTTGTTTGGGCTGCCTATGGGTTAAATTGTTATTGTCGTTGGTGTTGTGGTTATTGTTTTTTGTTTTTGGTGCTGTTAGTTTGTTTTTGTTTTCACTTTGCGGATGAAAGGTCAAAAATAAGATAGAAAATAAAATTACACAAAAAAAACATTTATATCTTTTAGATGCTTTATTTTTCCATTTGCCTAACTAATTTTATAAGATTACTAAAAGCAGCTTTTAATTCCTTTTTCCTTAATGAAAGCCTGTACTAGATATAAAAATATCTACTACAAGCTCATATGCTTGCTCCGGTCCAAGTCGTAGCGTTCAAGGTCGTTCTTCATCATCGCCGCTTTCAAGTTCAGTAAACTCTGGTTCGTCTTTCCTTATCTCTTCATCCCGGTTGCAGTACCTTCTATCAAAAGATCCTTTCACGACATTAGCTTCAAAATAACCTCTGTTCGTGATATTACCACCCTTCCTGTAACGAAACACAACCCAAAGACAGTTCATCCCTCTCTTTCTGGATGTAGCTGTTCCAACTCCAAGCTCACTCGATCCTTTCCACACAAGTTGTGTGAAATGCCCAGTTGCCATAGCGTAGCCAGGTCTACGGAAATCGTATACACAGATTTCGTCGTATCTGAAACAAGAAAAACCGGTTTACTTATCAAGGGAGCCTCAGTCGTACTCTGAGTTATGGTGGCGGAGTGCAGTGCATATACATAACACAGCTGGTACGACTCATGGTGGCGGAGTGCAGTGCACATACATAACACAGCTGGTACGACTCATCCATCGCTGTCCGTCAGTCTTTTTCTTTATAATTTCGCCTTACCCTACTTCCGTGTGTCATCAACTTTCGCACGCGTGCTCTTTCCGTTTATTTTTTTGATCACAAAAAAACGAAATTTAAACTGCATCCAGTTGCTAAAAATAGCCCAACCGGGAATTTATATGGCGCGCGCGTTATTAAGAAGTTTCCCTTTCTTATTTATCTTAATCTTACAATTCTTTGACGGCTTGTGAGGGAGGAAGTGGATCACCCCTTGATGAACAACGGTAGATCAGATTTTCTCCGACCCCAGGGCGGGAATTTCTTGGTGAGTGCTTCAGATATCCCATTCCGGCCAGCTTACGGGCGTAACGGGCAGCGGACGAGCTGAGATCGTTGCTAAGAGACAACGGTTGGGCATCGTGGATCTTACGATAGGTGTTGTGGGCCTCAAGGGTTTCCTGGGCATAATCTAAGACAGCAATTCAAAATCGAAAAAAAGAAAAAGTATTAGAATTGTATCGCGACAAATTGTCGTTGTACGTTCATTCTACTGATGTCACTATCTGATGAAGATATAGAAATATAGATAAGTTAAAATGCTTGGAAACGAGGTTATTCCGGGCGAAAGCCCTTGGAATTAAATTCGGAAAAATTAATTTCCGACCTCGCTGGGAATACTTATGTATTTCATAAGTGCTACGCGGTCCACATATTCTCACTATCTGATGCCGCTACTGCTACTGCTACTGCTACTGCTACTGCTACTGCTAATCGAAAAACATCAAGCAGGAATTTAATTTAATTTGAATGACCACGCTAGTAAGCGTCGCAACCGCGAGCCTGTGTAAGAGATCTTCCTAAATAGAAGTGGGGTTGACTAACCGATGAGATAATACAAAGAAAAATCGATAGATGTAATTCAAACTTACCCGCCATTGCAGATAAAGCAAAGGCTCCAAACAGAAGAACAACTGTGTAGAACATCTTTGTTGCTGTAAAACATTCACAGAGATAATGTTACCTAAATCAATAGCCACAAAACGTATTCTAAGTTATATAATATATTTGGCCAACTTTTCTGAAGAACACTTGAAACGTGGCTCACTGACAACGACTCGATAATTTGAGGACTAAAAAATAATTATGTTCAAAAACGTGTTAAAAAATTCAAACATTTTCCATACTACACTTGCTTTAGATCTAGCTCAGCCGGTAGAATAATAAGTTAGAATAACACTGAACCATTTAGCAATCATGTTACCTTTTTTAAGTTGAGTCTCCTTCTCTCCAGACAATAGAAGTGTAGTTTGAGTGAGTAACGAGTTCCCCGTTATATAGTTATATAGTTAGTCATGTTGACAAAAATATCAAATAAACATGTTGTTTGGCATGGTACACGTGGGCTTTGACAGGTTTCTCTCCTCAAACACTGTTAAATTTTTCATACACTGACAACTGGTTATTGAAATTAAACAATTTAGCAAAAAACTAAGTTAATTAAAGAGTTCTGTTTCAATAGTATTCAATGTACGTACTAAAGATGAAGAAAAAAGTGTATATATAGTGCTTGCTAATACAGTCATGTGTTTTTTCGACCTAAAATTAGGCTTCCACGACAAGTGAACCTGTTGTTTTCTTTTCAGTTTTCCAGTTGACCTTTCTTACGTGTTCCAGGCTTGAGATTATGGTACTAATGCCTAACCTCTAACCTTCTTTTTTGCACTGATAATCCCTATTTTCAATACCATTATCACTGATTTTTTACAAAGTAGACCGGTTATAGTTATATTTCGTAGAATTTACGTAAGAAAAACCTTCTTCATTATTGAAGCCATTTATTATGAATAAAAAAATTGATTAAAATGTCCTGCTTTTTTCTTTTTCTTTTTTTTTTTTTTTTTTTAAATGTGAATTTTAGACGTTCGGTAATGCTATTGCGAAGTGAGTCAATTAAAAAGCCAATAGTTTAACAATATTTTCCTGTTTTGTTTTATTGATTTTTTCTTCAAAACGATATACAATATTATAGAATTTTCACACCACGTAGTCTATCCTCATTACCCGCCCAAAGACAACACAGTAAAATATTTATGCCAAAAAAACAACAATATAGGTCGATGGGTAAGTATAGTTCAAAGGTTACAAAATTTAATATTTCAAATCGCTTGAAAGCTTTTAGTAAGATTTCTCTAGCTTATATTGGTAGAGATAAATTAAGAACGTAGTTCTCTCAGTTTCATCATTATTATTAAACACTAGTATTTATTATTATCATCATAATACGCAAAAAAAGCTTTAAAATACTGCCATATTTCAGAAATCCAAGGCTCTTTCAATACGCATGCGCACCCAAACTCTTGCGTGTCTATACGGCGGAAGTTCTCAAAAACATGTCCCACATGGAACTTCAGTAATCGTAAGTCCTTAAACATCAGCGAAAGAAACGACAATTCGGGTCTGCTGGTCATAGCAAGGGGTTAATCATCTACGGTCTAGGGGCCGACTAACCTCTCCCTTAGGCTTCGGCCGAGCTTCCTGATCAGTCTGTAAATCCAGGGATAGCGGTGTCGGGGCCGAAATCTCCGGCATAGCCGTAAATGCTTCGCGCTGCCATACTGCGCTTCAGCACTGCGTCTGGAGGTATGGTCCTTAACTAATCAATTACTAAATAAAAATCTAAGAAAGAAAAAAATATATATATAAAGTAGCAGATGTAGTTTTGGATAATTGAATTTGAAGGAGAACAAGAAGAATCTCAAGTTTCACTGAGTGCTCGTTTAAAGTCGCTCGTAGCGGTTTAATTGACATTACATTCTTAGTTCACAAATACTTTATCGTTCTTCAGCTGGATCGATCAGATTTTCAGTATTTGAATATTTTCTTACTCTTTCAATGGATGTTAAAAAATTGATGTCTCGTGGGAATGTTAAAAGACAATAAAAAACTGGAGTAAATTCCTTCGCGGAGATATCAGTATGCACCCCCAAGAACTCTGCTATTCAAATGTTATTCGTCTCGTATCCCTATGCAGAGGCGGCAGAGCCCTTTGAATCGAGGGGGGGCATTTTTAAAAATTTCCAAAATACATTAAACGTTGTCCGTTCACATTAACACTCGATGCTGAAGTTTGATCAATAAGGAGACAGATGATGGAACACTGTAGGAAGGTAACCGAAGAAAACCGAAGGAAACTTAATCGAATAAGCATGCGTGCGCTAGTAAATCCCCATCAAATCAGAATTTAGTATTTGTAACTCTGATGTCATAAAACTATTCCATAACATGCATATCAAAACTAATAACTGAAATATTTTATTTGGTTGACAATGTTTGCCAGCTTACAAAATACCACCTCACCCTAAACATTAAACATAGTATCAATTCTTCCTTGCACTTTGATTATTTTAAATTACCCCTTCCCAAGCATGCAGTAATCTCCTGCTTATATAAATATGTTGTAATAAGCTGCACGAAAAATTCCCTTGCATGGAGAATGTCACGTGCAGTTTTTCTAGAGGCATTGTGTTACATGCACGACTTTGGCCCCTTCATTCCAACCCTCCCCCTTCTCTAAAATGCATTTGTTTTTCTGTCGACATCATATGCAGGTGCAAGAAACATTCCCTTGCGTGACGCAGCAGGAGAATGTCACGTCCGGAGTATATCTAAAAGCAGTGCGTTACATTACACCCATCCCCCTTCTCCAGCATGCATTAATTTTTCTGTTGACGTCATATTGCAATTTTCACAAGAAAAAAACTTTATTTGCGTGACGTAATAGTGTCAGGTAATTCTTCCAAAAGCATTGCGTTACGTGATGACCATAATACTCCTTTCCAACAAGACCATTATCTAACCAGCATTAGTTTCTTGCATGATAGAGTTTATGAATTGCTACCAGTGCTTAACAATAGAATATCTGGCTGGATTATTAAATTAACAGCAATAACCATGTAATAATATATTAATATATTAACCCTACTTTCCAACCCGTCCAAGTTTTTGGTCAGTTTTAGGATTGGCTGTTACGGCTTGTACTCTGACTATAGCTTCATTGATTTTAGTCTGAAGATCTCGCAGCTCTGCTACATGTAGGAGTCGTAGAATTTTGGCTGCTTCATTAACTGCAGGGTCTGAAAAAAGATGTCCAAAATTTTTATTTTTATTTTTTTTTTACTAAGAAGTCAATTTTTATGTTTTTGAGGATACTATTACAGAAACAACATTGTCCTTTTTTTTTACCTTTTTAAGGATACTAAATAATACAGAAAAGACAGGTGTAACTTTATGGTTTTGGAATTTCATATGCATGCCCCTTCCCCTCCCTGCCCAACCCTCACTCTGGCTTAACTATTTTATGCTGCCTGGTAAGCAATTAAGATCTTTCATTTTGCACGTGAAGGCAATAGGAAACCAGTCACAGTACTAGCATATAGCAACACTAGCAAAACATCATTTCTACCCACTGTGGTTCCAAAGGTTGGTGTCGCTGATTATGCAGACACTACATGAATTTAGTTTGTTTGATGTGTTGCTCTCTCCTTCGTCACAAGGCTTTTTTTTACCAGGTTCTCTGGTTTCCCTCGTGTTGAGCACTGTGTGCAATGAAAACTGAATGTGGTGGTAGTGTGTTTGAGTTAAATGCAATTTAGTGCAAAAGCAGACAGTGAATTCTTTAGCTTGTGCAGCACTTGGTACACTGCACAGCAGCTCAATGGAGAAGCCCAATTCCCCCTCCACTCAATTCCCCCACTCAGACACAGACTACAACATCATTTTTTTAAATAATAATTTAACACTGGGCCCGGTTGTACAAAGCCTGGATATCGCTATCTGGCAAATAAATCGTTATCCAGTAGATAAGTCGATGCTGTAATCCAATAAATTTATCCACTGGATAAGATTTATCCATTGGATAGTGCTATCCAGGCTTCATACAACCAACCGGGCCCTGGTAAAAACACCCGACTTGATACGAACCTCCAGTGTCAAATCCAAGATCTGTTCTGTGTAATGATATGATATCAGATGACTTTTTTGACACACTTTCTTTCTCCTTTTTCTAAAATAATAACAAATAAAATTGTTTTGATTTCAATGCACAATATCAGGTCCGTAACCAAGAGGGGTGAGTTGGGTGCTTGTGCACCCCCTGTACAAGCTGAAGTCTGCTCATTCACTCATTGCTTGAATTCTTTTTCTTTTACTTTCTTGCTTTTGCAAATCCTTGGGGTTTTAGAAAACTTGTTAAGGTGATGGCTGTTAATTTAGACAATAGTGCCAATTCCATTTAATGTGCACCCACCCGGCAACCCCCTGGCTACAAAACTGGACGTTCAAAGGAGTTGGAAAAGTTACCTTTTTTCCTGACTCTTGTATTGCTTCTTGTGAAAGTTTAGCATCAATCAATGATCTTATTGCCTAGAGACAACAATAACAAATAACAACAACAATTAGCATAATAGCATGATATTATTTCTTATTAATATCTGTAAAAATAAATAAATGAATAATCATGTGTCAAATTATATTTACCTGTAGAAGTACAAAGTGATCATGATGTTCTGGTAGGTTGAGTAATCTTGATAACGATATTATTCCTGCCTTAAGGTCTGGATCATCAGCTACGTGGAGAATATTTCAAAAACAAGTTTAATATTCATTCTGATTGAAGTCTATCACTAGTTACCGAAACGACATGTTTTTTTTTTCAATGTTTTTTGAACAAATCTGGACCTTCCTCCTGTTTGGTAAAGCCATTCTTAATAACACATGCCCGATTGTTTCTGTTGCAACAAAGTAGGTTTTGGAGGATGTCAATCAAGGCATTTCCATGACATTCTATAGGCGAGTGCCATTATAGCTTTGTATTTTCCGACAATGTTATGGAAATACCTTGCGATTGACGTCCACCAAGACCTTCTTCATCATGACAGAAAAATCGCTCAAGGGCACACGTGATTGAGAATGGCTGTAAATACAATCATCTATTTTTATTAGTAATTAGTAAGTTATCACTTACTTGTTATATTCAATAGATCTTGTGTGAATCCTGTGTTTTCTTCTGATTGACTGGACTCCTTTTCCTCCTTCACAAGACTGTTAAATTTTTGTGCTACAATAAAAAATATTTGATAAACAAAGTCTGCTGTTGCTATATATTGTGCGAGCAAAATTATTGTTTCTCATAGTTAGCTAGTGAGTAACTTATAATATAGTTCACTATGAAATAATAATAATAATGATAATTTAATGAATTTCTATAGCGTTATACATTACACTCTATGACGCTTTACAATGAATTTCCAAACATAAAATATAGAAATATATATATATATATATATATAGAAACCCTCGCACTCTGTCCAAGTCGGCCCATCAGAGCCCACCTAGCATACCTTGACAAATGCATGGGTCAAAATAACCACCGGTCAACAAACAATGTCCATACAAAATGACACTTGTCCAGCTAAATGACTCAAAGGCTGTTACTCTTGACCATTCGCATTGACTGGTTACGTTAATCAGTTCAAAATAGCCAGTCTTCATAGCAGTTACAAGACCGTAGCCACCACTTGGAAAGTGGTCAGGTTCTTTAAAAAGTGGTCCAGGTTTATTTTATTTACTTGTGTGATAAATATTTTTTTATGAGGAGGAAAACTGGTTCTGAAGGTAAAAAGTGGTGCATTTTTAAAACCTGACCAATTATATATACCGGTGGCTTAACTGCCCTGAGTTAATATATCGTTCTTTTTTACGCCCATGTGGTATGACTTTGATATAATGAGCTTGAACTTACCATTTTCTGAGTATTCCAGCCTAATGGCATGAGACAGCAGCCAATCCATTACACTGGTTTTCTGTTTACTTAGTAATGGACATTGCAAGTCTAATAAATACTACAGAAAAAATTGTAAATCAATGATTTAAAACACTGTTAAAACACATGACTATCCCTATTTACAACAATACTAGTGAGGGTTGGCCAACTCTAACATAGTCTGACCAACTCCCCTTTAACCCTCCCCCACCCCCCCCTTTTTTCCAACTTATGTTAAGATGGCTACTGCTGTAAGCTTATATACCTTTGTTAGAGATTTCGTCCAGTTATCATTCTTCACGTCCCGTAATGCTTCTCTATCTTCTATTTTATAAAACCTAATCTTCTGGTCCTCTAACCACACGACGAGATTCCTACATTCTTCTTCAGCTGAGCGTAAACAGAAGAATAAAGTTTGTACAAAAAATGAACTAAAGATAAAATTTCAAAACTACATTGTTATAATTAATTCGCTAAAATCATAACAGTTATCGTAGATTGATAAGTTTTACACCGTAGTGAAAATAGGAATTGACGTTTCGGACGTTAGTCCTTCGTCGGAGTCAATGAAGGACTAACGTCCGAAACGTCAGTTCCTATTTTCACTACGGTGTAAACTTATCAATCTACGATAACCGTTTCATTAGAAACACCGACGCAGTCCACGCTAGCGTTTACTAGCCATCATCTGACATAAAATTATAACAGCTTACAGTCAACGTTAAAGGTATCTGGGTGGTGGTACTCTAAGGCTGTTAATTTTCTTTTAAACATGGCTAATTTAAATTTTTTTCTAGAAAAAATACTTCTCTGCCTTCAGATTAACTTGCTCAAAGGTTCAAAGAACTGAAAAAATAACACAGGTAACCCAATTTTTGGTTCAGGGAATTTAAAATTTTTAATATATGAAAAAAATATGTGAAAAGCATTTAAAATAACGAGAAACTAAAGCTCTTTTCCGCAAAATGATCTACTAATAGGAATTCCTATCTTTATATTTTTTATAAGCACATTTTTGTGTTCTCAAAATTTGGTTCTTGGTCTCCCTGTGGAGCATGAGTGCAAAAGGGACGCAGGCTCATATAGTTGGGATCCCTGTGAAAGTGTTGGCGGGAGTTTTCAGAACTCGAAACTGTTTATGGAGTTCTATTTTACGATTTACTCATTTTCTACGTCATTTATCGCCCTAGATACTGTAACTACCAAAGCATTAGAACATTTTGATGGTCTTTTACGTCGATTGGTGTAGTTGGATACTCTCTCATCTTTGATTATGACTTTGATCCACGTTGACAAAAATAATGGCGTTCGATTGATCAAGTCATCTTTCCGATTCTCATCTTTATTCAACGCTTCTGGGCTTAAATTATTTTCGATCTCTGCGTGTCAGAAACAAAAAGATGCTTTATCGAACGAACAAAAAGTTCGTCGCAATCTTCAGCGAAAAACAGAAGACTTAAATGATAATCCGAACTGTTATGGCGAAGCGGTGAAATCGTCACCCGTTGGCACCAGTTGGCTGAGAAAATCCTCACCTCAGACGTCGTTCATAAGAAATAACGAATTATGGTTCGACCTTGAAACAATAGATAGACTACCACGTCGTGAACTACAAAAGCTATGCACTAAATTTGGTATTCGTGCTGTGAGCAAGACGGCAAAGCTTGTAGAAGACTTAAGAAATTTTCACCAGGAAAATCTAGCAAATCCTTCATCCATTCTCCACTGTCCGTTCATTCCTGGGACAGGTTTTCCTCTGAAATCTCAATTTGAGAAAAATTACTTTAATTCTTTGAAAGAAGTTGATAAAATTTCAGGTTTGTTTGCATCGTTAGATGTTTCGTCAACAAGTTTCAGACGGGATGAAGAGCTTCAAAGATTATGCCGATCTATTGGAGCTAGGAGCACAAGTTCAAGGACGACAGCCAATTCATTGGATTCTTTGAAGTCCAATTTAGGGGAGCAAGACAAGTCATTCAGAATGCTAGCGGATACTTGTGATTCCAAAGAAATATTTCTACAAAGCAAACCAAGTGTCTCTAAAGTTTTGAATTTTGGGAACAACAAAAATAAAGCCTTTATGATTAGTCACTGGAGAAAAAAGAAAATTGAAGAAATGGGAGATGAAGCTTTTAAGAAATATCAATCAGATGCCACCAAAAAGGGAAGACTTTTTCATTCTTATGTGAAAGATTTTTTGTCTGGTAAGAACACCAATGTGGAAGGAGTCGAAGGATGTATCAAGAGCATCTCTGGTGTATTGAATAATATCAGTTCTGTAATTGCAACTGAAAAAAGAGTGTCACATTACTATCTTGGGTATTGTGGAATCCTTGACACCTTAGCTCTTTACAGAGGAGTCCCTTGTTTGATTGAATGGAAGACTTCTGAGAAGCCTAAGGAATCTTTATCAGATTGCCACGACTTTCCTACTCAGGTTGCAGCATATGCCGGTGCTATAAACTCCAGTCCGTACTTTAGTGTACCCATAACTACTGGGTTAATTGTCGTTGCTTATCATGACGGCACTCCTGCACATGTTCACAAGATGGACATGAAAACATGTGACTACTATTGGCAACAGTGGCTGGTTCAAGTCTATAAATACAAACAGATGGACAAGGAAAATGATAAATCTTGAAGCAGAATAAATAGTTTACTAGAATAAAAAATTAATTTCTATAAATAGTTGTTCCTCATCATTAGATGATTTATTTTATATATAAAATAAATCAAAAGTAAAAAATGTGGATTGGTTTGAGAATCTGTGGTTTTGTTCATTTTACTTTCTTGTCCTTTCCATTCCTTTCCTTTCCATTGTTTCTTATCTTCTTTCCACTTTTTCTTATTTTCTTTCCACACTTTCTTTCTTTTCTTTATTTCTTATTATCTCCTTAATACTTTTTAGTACTTAATACTTCTTATACTTTTCTTCAAACCCCCACCCCTTCCATTCTTTCCAATAGATACTTCAATTCTTCATGAACTTTCATATGAGTGGAAAATATACGGTACTGACTTACAGCACATATATACAAATATATAAGACAAATGTCTTCCTAGTACAGCTAAGAATTTGCCATATCATTTCCCATTTATTCAATACCGTTCTAGTAATGATAAAAAAAAGAAAATGAGAAGGAAAGGATCAGCGGTCGTTGCATGACGAATCGAATCGCGGGCTCTAACATTCAAAATGGCGGACGAAACGCAAAGTACAGACAACTGTGACAACAGCTCAAAAGAGACAAAAAAAACACCAATATTAACTAAAGCAGAGAAACTAGAACAAGCCAGAATCCTAAAAGACGAAGGCAACGCATTCTACAAACAAAAAGACTACAAAAATGCCATGAAAAAATACCATCAAGCTTTGATGTACGTGAAAGGCCTGTTTGACCAGGTGCCATTTCAAGGAATGTTCTTGCCAGAAACAAGATTCCCTGACGAAGAAACAGCTATATTTAAAGAGAAAGCACAACAGATTGAGTTATCTTGCTTTAATAACTTGGCTGGTAACAACGAATAGACAAAGATTGATTTGAATTTTGTACTAATTTCCAAACGCTGTGCTAAGATTTTTTTCAATGGTTTTTGTAGCTTGTCATTTAGCTGGAGGTCGATGGTCTAAGGTCTTAGATAACAGTTCTAAGGTAAGTTCACTTTGGAAAAGTAATTTAGAAAGAAAAACTTCAATTACGGAGATTTTAAGATGAGTTTTAATGTTCTCGCTAGCTTGTGGGTCATTCATCCATCCGTCCGTCCGTCCATTCATTCATTCATTCATTCATTCAAAAGAGCAATATAGTTAATAGCTATTACAATTTATTTGACTAAAATCTTCTTTTTTTTTTTAATTGAATGCCATAACTCAGGGAATAATTGCTTAGGCATGACATTAGGCATATGGTAAAACGATTTCTGGGTCCACTAAAAGCAGTTCCTTTTTAAAGATTTTTCTTGCTTTTTCGTCATGACAGAATTTGTTGAACAAAGATCTATAATTATTGTTTTAGGTGGAGGTAAAATCATTGGAAAATGTTTGCTTCATTTTAGCAGTTTTCATAAACAGTTTGACCCAGAAATAGGTTCCTAACTTAAAAGCTCTATAGCCCCCTTACAGTACAGTACATTGGAATGCAGGTCAATTTGGAGGACATGACAATAGGTTTCCAATTGTTTGGAGGTTGAAATTATTTTGTTTTTTCCTCCAATTTGAGCTGCTTTGACTTCACCTGCACAGGGTATATACCTTCCCCAGACATTCCCTAGACCCTTAGAAATAGGCAGCAGAACTGAAGGACCACTTCCCTTTCCTTCCCCTGTAATATCCAGTCACTGGTTCAGTATTACTATTTGACTTTTTATCACTTCATGGTTGAGATCTTGTCTATCAAACGAGAGGTCAGTGGTTCGAGTCCTGTGAGAACCCAACTGACGCAGATTTTTTAATCTGCTTATACACTCAATGGAGCATACACTTAACATTTTTAAAAAAACACTTCATGGTTGTTCAGGTTCTCCAGCGTCAACCAGATAATGCAAAAGCTTTATATAGAAGAGGACAAGCGTATATGAAGTTACAAGATATTGATAGAGCCAAGGAGGACCTGAAACGAGCCAGTGAACTTGAACCCACAGGTAAAAAAATTATTGCATTCCTCCCCTTCCTTTGGAATTACCACTCCAAACTCTTGGAAATTCTGTGCAACTGTGATACTCATGAAACAAGTGTACGCTCCTTGTTGGGCCTTACCATACCTTGGAAATTCTAATCCTCCTCCATGGGGGGAGGTATGGATATTTTCTAGAACTACACAATGTACCCTCCTCAAACCCTTCAAACACCTTGAAAATTTCAATCTCCCTCTGTAATAGTAGCTTGTGTGCAGCCAAGCTAACTGTTAAGTATGGACTATACGGGAGAAAAGTCCGGCTGCACRCAGGCTACTTTAGTAAAGGTATGGATATTTTCTGGAACTACAGTACACCAAGTATGCCCTCAACAGGCCCTACCCAACCCTTGGAAATTCCAATCTCTCTCTGTGGAAAAAGTAGGGATATTTACTGTAACTTCACCATATTACACCCTCCTCAGACTGTCCTTGCCCCAACTTTCAACCCAACATCAGTTGACAAAGAAGAATGGATATTTTTTAACTATACATAATTTTTTTCATTTGGTCAATTTAAATATACTTTTTAATCCTCATAACTACTTCTTTATCTCCAGACAACAGTATCAAGAGGACATTAATTTTGCTGGAAAAAGAATACAAGAAAATTACAGAAAAAGAGAAAAAGACATATGCAGCAATGTTTGAAAAGATGTCTGTTTGAGATTACTGTAACATACATTTATTATGAACAATAACCTTCTTTTTTATAATTAATTACCATTAAAAGACATGACAGCTTTTCTGTCTTTAGTACTACTTTACTTAAACTTAACTTAAAGCTCTCTCCACCAGTAGGTGAGTAAGGCTATTTAATATATTTTTCTGGTCTGGTATCCTAAAAATCATGTGTTCTGATTGGCTGCACAAGCTGGCAGTATTTTCTATCTCTGATTGTGGTCCAGTCTCCTGACATATACATCATCCAAGAATGCACATGAGAAAACAGATTGTTAAACTACGAAACAAATTGCAAAACAAATGGAAAAGTAAATGGGAAAAATTATTTACTAAAGTTATTTACTGGTCTAAAGTTCGTTAGGATAGAAATAAATCCTACATCTGGTAATATTCTTAATATTAGTGTCTCGTTCATTATGGACGTTTACAAGTTAAGGATAAGCCAGAAGCAAGCCTTTTGTAAAGCCCAAACAGATCAGGCATTAATAATATTACTTTACAAACTCTTCCAAGGTGAAAATTTCTATTTCAATAAGGTGGTTTCAGTTCGAACCGTTGAGCTGCGCCACTGCTGTACTTTGCCATGGTGATATGTGATGACAATTGTTGTTTTTTCTATTGAGTGTTTCTCAATTAATTATGATTCATAACTTAACAATAAATTAAATTTGAACTGTTTTAGGTTTCTGCCAGCTCAGCAGGTCTAAGACATGGTGCTTTGTCTAGTGTTATCCAGTAAATTAAATCACTCAAGGGAATAAAATTGTTATTTTTGACAAGATTTTGCTTTCTYCTTTTGCGAATACCAATATCGTGACCGAACAGAACTACTGGTACCAGAGCTTTACCAGCTTCCTCCCTTTCCTCCTCCACTGGTACTCCCTCCACCTCCAAATCCACCTCCAAATCCACCTCCGAATCCACCTGTACTACCAAAACTACCAGTTGTACCACTGGACGACGCAATTGGCCTCATCACTGTAAACAAGGAGTCGTCCACAAAGCTTCCTTGAAATTGTTGTGACGTCCAATGATGGATCAAGTCTTCTGTGATAAATGTTGGATACTGTCTCTGGAGATTCAGAAGACGGAATGTAAGCTCGGGGAAGAAATCCAGAGTACCAGATGATGCTGAGTCCTCATCTTTATTTTCGTTCTCCCTCCTGTTCGTCGACTGGCGACAAATTGGACACGTTGAGTTTGTCTCAAGCCATCTCTTTAGGCAAGGTTCACAGTACTTGTGTCCACAAAGAAGTAGTCGAGTGCGCATTTCAGGCGTAAAATCTTCAAGGCAAATAGGGCATGATGCAGATACATACTTCTTACTCTCTTTAGCAGCGTTTCGTTCCCTCTCAATTCTATTCAGTTTTTCTTGACAGCTCTCATATTGTTTACTTTGATAGATTTTGTATATGAGGATGCCCAGAAAAAATGCAAGAAACCCCAAAATACAAATGATAGCAAAATAATTCTTGCTTCTGAGTATTTTACCATCGAAAACTTGGTGCATTCGATCAGCTGCCAATTGCAAAGCTTTACCGTACTGTTTATTGACAAGTATAGGTTTCATTTCGTCGATGATAATGTCAATTTGATCATCTGTGAGCCTTTCTTTAGCTGTTCTTCCAGTGGATACGTAAATCTGTCTGTCTTTTATTGACAGAAGCAAAAGCACCCCGTCATCGCATCCTGCACTTCCAACACCCCATTCATTATGAAGATGGCGTGCAAAATCTTGGGCAACCTCCTCTTTACTCATCTCTGATGGCACCGCCATTTTATTCATCACTGCTACCCCTATTTGAAATCCAGGCCGTTGGGGATCGATCGAGCAGCCAGATTTCGTTTTCGTTCCTACGAATTGCAACATCTCTTCCAAAATATTCGCTTCTTTGTAAGGAATGACTTGGTCTGGGTCGCAAATCCAAGACATTACTCCGCCGCGTCCACACTTTTTCGTATCCTTAAGAGGATTTGGAAAGCTTTCCTTTAGCCAACTGCTTTGGGTTTGCATTGGGGTTAGAAAAGAAAGAATTAAAAAGGCAAGAAGAACTAAATTCCTGTCCATTTTGGCGTCTCTTGATATTTTGATGATCAGACAGTTTTGTTTTCGAAGACGCGTTCCTAAAGCCTGCTGTTATTCTGGTCTGGTCAGCGTAGTAAAAACCACAGCTAACCCATCTAGACTTACAGTGCGACAAATGATCGAATATGTAGATTTATAAGAACAAGGCATTCCACCTTAAGTCAATCTTATCAGATTTTGTATGTGTGTTCTTGCTGCTTTTCTGTGTCTCTGTGTACAATTTTGAACCAATCCGACGATATTTAGCTTTCTTACAGTCCATTCTATAAATTATTATATATCACCTATTTATTTACCATAGGTAGGGCCTGTAAAATAGCAGCTAAAACTCATCAGATATCTTGATGAGCTTCATGTGCAGGAATAAGACATTTTGATTGGCTGAGGTTAATTACTACTGATTCTGCTCTCTCCTGATTGGATGGAGTTTTCACTTGTCAGTATTTTTTAACATTTTCCTCTTCCTAAAATTTGATTATTATTTTTTTACTTTTTGCATAAAACAGTGTTCAGATCATTGAAAGGCATTGGCAACAAAAGAATACACAGAAAACAAATAGAGACTAAAATATACTTTATGTTCTTGAAATGAATGAATTCAAATGTTAATTATCAAGTAAATGTTTTTTATAAAACGTCTTTCGGCAATCAAGAGTGGTTATTTAAGTATAAGAGACTATTACGGCAAAAGGGAAAAAAGTGGGGAGGCTATATTCCCCCCACCCACCCACTCCCAAATAACTTATATTAGAAGCATGTCAAATATGTTACAAGTCTTTGTACTTAATGCTGTTCATTAATTTCTTCATACAGACTATTTGCAGCACATCAGAATGCAGCTCAGTTTGGAGGACAACAATAAACCATATGAAAAGGGTGTGTCCCTTGAGATACCTTAGTTCATCAGTTATAGAAGACAACAATGCTTTCATTAGAAAGAGTATATCCAAATTACTCTCCAGTCTTTTTCATATGATCTATAGGTTTCCAATTCCAATTGAAAATCTTTTGTTTTGTCCTCCAAATTGAGCTGCTTTGACGTCACATGCCAGGGATCTATTATGTCCAGACAGAAAAACTGTTTTAGAATTTCATTCTGAAATAAATGAACCTTGGGTACCAATATTGCAACCTAACAATAAAACATTAAGCATAGAAGAAGTCAAGGCTTCTTTGATTGCACAGAAAATGAATAGTATAACAAGAAAGAGAAGGGTGACATCAAACTTTGTTCATTTTGGTTACAACAATAACTCGAACACTTTGGTCAAATGATGTACACAAGCACAGTCCAGCCTGAAAGAAAAAAATAAGACATTTTTAAGTTAACACATTTTTATAAGGTAGCTGTCCTGAGGTGTTGGTGAGTCATCAGTAATGTGTTGGTAGGTTGTCAGTAGGATGTTGATGGGTTGTTAGTAGGGTGTTGGTAGGTAGTCAGTAGGGACATGTTGATGGATTGTCAGTAAGGTGTTGGTGGGTTGTCAGTAGGGTGTTGGTGGGTTGTCAGCAGGGTGTTGGTAGGTTGTCAGTAGGGTGTTGGTGGGTTGTCAGTAGGGTGTCAGCAGGTTGTCAGAAGGGTGTTGGTGGGTTGTCAGTAGGGTGTTGGTGAGGTGTCAGTAGGGTGTTGGTGATTGTCAGTAGGGTGTTGGTAGGTTGTCAGTAGGGTGTTGGTAGGTTGTCAGTAGGGTGTTGGTGGGTTGTCAGTAGGGTTGTGGTTGTGTGTTAGTAGATTGTCAGTAGGGTGTTGGTAGGCTGTCAGTAGGGTGTTGGTGAGTTGTCAGCAGTATTACATCCCAAAAGATTACTCACTTTATCTGGACTCCAGTCAAAAGAACTGATTGGCTGTTGAGAGAGTGTAGCATTCTGAAGGAGCATTACAGATCCTGCCACACCCATATCCAATTCATTTCCATCTTTTTCAACTCTCTTTGCTGGGTATGAACTAAAACAATCCATTTAAGGTTCGATCATATTACATGATATAATATTGGTTTAAAAGGAACAAGCAAAACATAAAACTTACTATTTCCATAGATTTAGGGTTCCACTTCCTCCACACGTCATAAAAACATCTCTGTTTTGAGGAAGATGTCGAGCACACCAGACTGTAGACTTGTGAGCCTGTAAAAAAGAGCAAAAGAAATATATATTCAAAAAAATAATCAGTTACATAACATTTTGGTTTGTTCATTTGTATGGTTAAAATGAATGGTTGAAGAGGCAAATTAATGAATGAACGAATAGATGAATGAACACGCCGGGCACAAAGGCACCCGAAAACTGCCACGTTGGGGTATTTTCTGAATTACAAGTCAGATATTCATCAAACTTGGCAAGAATATCAGGGTTGACCAGACGGATTAAAATAAATAGTTTTTAGCGTAACTGTTACGGGTATGACGTCATAATGATGTCATAATATCGTTTTGCAATGGTTTTCATATGATTTGAAACTCATTCATGCTTCGTGAAACATGTGTTTTTAGACGCTTCTTGATATAAGCAACACGGTTTTGAAAACCGTATCTCAATTGGTCAAGGCATTCAAAAGTTATAGAAATTTTAAGTTTCATAGTTTTCCCTCCAAAAAATGGCGGGAAAAAAGATTTGAAAAGCATTAATAAAAACTATCGCTTCATTCATCTTTTCGAATTTACAACAACGTCGCACTAAAATTTCTACATAAACTACACTAGTAATGATCTAAAATCGTAACGTTTTAGATTTTTGAATTTTGAAGCCAAAGCGCTATAATTAAGGCAAGAAATAATGCTTACATCATTATGACATCACGTGAATTTTAAAATCTTTATATAAGTTAACCCAATAAGATTTTTTCAGATGTTTTGGAGTAGCAACACTGCTTTAGTGCTAAGTAACAATTATGCTCAGAGAAGTCACTCGTTCCACAGCATTTAAGAGTATTTTACAATTCAAGATGACGTCAAATTGGGTGACGTCACTAAATCATTTAATCTTCTATAACTTTAGTTAGAAACGTCGTAGCGAGTTCTGATAAACATTGTAATGTTTTGCACAACACTCTCCATCTAATCAAGTCAAGTGATAAAGACAGCGATCAACGATAAGAATTTACCATAAAAGGAGATGCCAAACGTGACGTCAAAGAAACGTCATAACCTCTTAAAAATGAATCGTTTTATATACCTGCACTTCCCCAATATTCTATGAAAATTTCAGCTTAGTTGGACGTCGAATAACAAAATTAATAGGATTTCTTTATTTTGGGTACGTTTTCCCATGCCGTTTTTGAGGTCGTTTGTGCCCGGTGTGTGAACAGATGCACAAATTAGTGGATGGGTAAATGGATGGAAGGACAGGAAGAAAGGACAAGTCAGATGATATGATGGATGGATGTTTGGACGGAGAATGGATAGATGGGTGAATGATTTGGAAGATGGATGGAGGGAGGGAGGGAGGTATGGAGGGAGGGAGGGAGATATGGATGGAGGGAGGGAGATATGGATGGATGGCAGAAAGAATGTATAAGAACATTTGTTGATAGTTGGATGGCAGAAAGAATGTATAAGAACATTTGTTG